GAGGGGTCAGCCAATTCAAATAATTAAAGGACTCCCTACCTCACAAATTGCGCGCTCCAATCTGCCATCGCAATCCTGCGATACACGGCGAGTGCGGCGTGCGTGACGCCCTCTTCAGGGAGAAGTTACCGGACCCCCTTGAGCACGTATAGTAAAATAGAAATGAGACTTTTTTCTACGTTTCCTAAGAAGTGCCGTCGTAAGCCTCAAATTTAACGTCCTCAGGTCATCAAACTAAGGAGCCGAAAACAACAGAACTCATACCCATTGAAGGAACGGAACAAATCTGATTGTGAATACGGGCATTATCTATGCGTAGTCAATTTGATATAGTAGAACACACAAAAGAACATATAAATAATTAAGTAGTAATTTTGGGAGAAAAAAAATTGAGCTGCCTATTCACCTGGAAAACTAACAAACTGCTAGACTTAGTTCTATTCTTGACTTTTAAGGCTATACAAATCGGATTCAGCATATGTCTGAAACTGTTCTCAACGGACAAACGATCTGACCCGTTTCCAGAAAAACGCTGAACACACAGAAACCCAAGTATGATATGATCATCACGAGGCCTGAAATGTGGGAATTAGACTTGATCATAGTTACTTTTCAAGCTTTTTGAGGTGCTCCTCTATGATGATCTCATTTTCACTCGAAATAGAAATAATGCCCACACGACGCTGTCGTCCATTTTTAAGATCTTCTGATTGAAAAGAAAAAGGTCTCAGTCGTTGATGACTATTAGTCTTACCGAATATCTTGTCCATCTTCCATTTTGACAATGCGATAGCAACTACCAGAAATATGAGCATAAGGAACAGCATTCCCACGCTGCAGATGAGACCGTTTGAGACAACAGCCACTGCAAAAAAATGCAGATTTTCGCAATCGAAAACAAGAACGATTTCACAAGTACTTGCTCAAACATAGAAGTAAACATAGCATAAGATCAGTGAATGCCTACAGCATAAACAAAAAGGGGAAAAAAGTTAAAGAACACCTGTTGGGAAGGCACCACTTGAATATCGAAACAAGGCGACAATGAAGTAAAGAATCCACGGAACAGGAAGCCTGAAATTCTTAGTTGAGAGCATGTTTAGTGATTTTTCGGATTAACACCTAGCATGCAGGGATCAAGTTATGCCTAGAATTTCAAAGACACTGCCACTACCATGTACCTTTAATGAGTGTCAGGGCCGATGTGTGATGCTGATAAGCTTATAGGCGAAAAAGTAAACAAAAATCAACAGCAATTCCGAATACACATGGAATACACATGTCTCGCCAATTTTCTACAAAATCCTACCGCCCTCCTCCCGTCAATACATTCGCTGTTAATGGCCGAAGAGGAACCATTCAAAATTTTCAAGTTCGTCCAATGAATTTCAGATTTTCTTTTCTGCTACGGTGATATGGTCGAGGAACCTCGCAGAACCGAGATGCGTAGTTTATTCATGTTTGACTGAAGTATTGAGAATCAAAACATACCCAACGCAAATGTCGAAGAGGTTGCTACCAATAGAGCTGGATACGGCCATGTCGCCAAGACCTTTTCTGGCCACTATCACACTGAAAACAGCCCGAAGATTACTTCGTAGTAACCCTTCAACTACTGTAAGTTTCAATGCAGAAACCTTAATTGAATATTTTTAGCCAGATCACCCAGAAATTGCGGATTCTAGGAATTTTTATAGCTTTTTCCTGTTAAACTCTGGGTGTTCTAAGCTCTGAAGTTCAAGTGGTACCTTGTAATTAAAAAAGTGTTCACAAAAAAGTGCGCCCCTGTTCTCAATCGTTATTTCCACAGAAGCCGACTCTCCTTACCGAAACTGAATTGCTTGATCTTACTCTTGATGCTCTCATAAAATGCAGAGGTGTGGTTAGCAGCTGGGCAAATGTCAAGGATTAATGCTTCAGGCCATTTGCAAAGCTTGACTCACCTTGTGATCAGATCAGGTATGCTCGTACCGGCCGCGAGGATTGTTAGTCCCATTATCTGAAAATATTCCACGTTAAACTTCAATTCATGCGTAGTCTCTCGAATAGTCCGTTTTCCAGTTTTTCGAACATCATCACTTACCTCTGTGGGGATAGCAAAAGTTTCTCCGATCACATTTGCCCACCAAACCATCAAATAAGAAAATAAAGCAATCCATAGGACAGAGCCGATGAAAGTTACCACGAACCAAGATCTCCATGACTGTAAACAAATCATTTTTAGGACCCCTTTCTGATTCAAAGAGCTTCAGAGTTGAAGAGAGAGAAAGAGAAAGGATTATATTTTTTAGTGGAAGGGTCTCTACTACGAGTTCTCTTTAATCCACTTTCTCAGAAAATAATCATGATGATCCTAGGTCGGCATCCTCACGATGAATTACTTCTCAGCTTCTTAGTTCTTCTTAGCAATTTTTCCTTACCTCTGGGTAAGAAACCCACACAGGGTCTCCCCAACGTCTGAACCGAATAAATTTTGCACCTCGATACTGTGAAGGGAAAGAGTGACGCCTAATATTTCGATAGCTGCAAAAGTACGTATAGGTTTGTGCCTAACTCTTCTACATTAGTCGTCAATTGCTCTTCCCGCTTTGAAAGGCCCTTCATGCGAATGACCCAATATTAACTCAGCTCCAAAAAGGAAACTATCAAGGGACATCTCAGTCACCTCTCTTTACACCTCTTTATGGAGCGAAATCACTAAGTTCAGCGAGATAAGATGAGTGAATGGTCTTCTGTTAGCTCGTGTGGGCGACCCTATCTAGAAAGTCATCGAGACTTGACTCACCGGTTTTCTCACATCTGGAAGAGTGCATGCTAGAGGAAATGTGATTGGCGCCAGTAACAGGTACACCAAACGTTTCAACGGCGTATCCGGCCAGGAAAGATCTAATGGCTGCTCCTCGGTGGAGGTGAACGAAAGCTGAATTGAGGAAATCAAATGTTGAACATTTAAAATAAATAAATCAAACAACAAAAACAGCAACAAAGCAACGGACGACATGTAGCTTTGATTTTTCCGTGAATTTTCCGTGGCTTTCAACTAGCCACTAGTATTCTCTAAGATTTACTTTACCACATAAATGAAATAATAATTTGATCCAAAATCTTTGAAGGCGAAATGGATTACTTTTTACCTAAACTTTTTGTTCTACGTTTCCGAGTTTCTGGTTTCAAAACTGCTTGTGTCATATAGTTGTTCCCTTGAGGTGGTGTAGTGGCAGGTGGCGCACTATCACACAAGCATGGTCGCAGGTTAAATCCCAGATCGATATCCGCCTAGGTCAACCAAGTCTTCCATACCTCCGAGGCGGTTAATTGGCATCAGATTCCGATCCTGCACTGAATGGTTAGCTCCAGCTCTTATGAGTGACAATCAGCATTCGTTTGAGCAGGTGTTTCGAGAATCTCACGGATAGCAGTAGGCAATTGAAATTCCTTTCTTGACAGTGAGAGAGGAGTTCTCATTGGGAATGGGAATCCCACAGGTGGACTATGCAGACGAAGGGCCCTGATCCTCGAACCCTNAGCAGGTGTTTCGAGAATCTCACGGGTAGCAGCAGGCAATTGAGATTCTTTTCTTGACAGTGGGAGAGGAGTTCTCATTGGGAATGGGAATCCCACAGGTGGACTATGCAGACGAAGGGCCCTGATCCTCGAACCCTTGTGGAAGGTGCTGAAAGGCAAGCTGCAGATGATCGAATGGGAGAAATAGCCCAGGTTAGATGATTTCTAGACCCGATTCCTTTCAAATGCTCGTAAAAATGTTGAACCCGTAGTGTAGCGGCGCCTGTTGTATTGATCAGCTCTACAGTAACCACAATTTTGCTATTCTTTTGTACATTTGTTTGTCCTCCCTCATACTTCTCACTTTCAGAGGTTGTTTTTATATAGAAATCAAGCGCTTAAACTTCAGTTACGTAGCACCCACAGCTGTCACGAAACCGCTGA